GCAAATGGCTTGGATTTGCATGGTAGTTACTCCTGCTGTACTGATATTTTTCTCTCAACCCACATTATGGCCTCATGGGGAGTTTCCTATGACCAACTGACTGAGAAAGACTAGTTTCCTTCTCAGGATTGGTCTAGGTATGGTTCTGCATGATTTGCTAGTACTGACCTTAAGGTGTATTTTTTTTTTTAATTTGGGTGGTATATTTTATTTTATTTAGTTTTTATTTTTTAAAATATTTTATTTATTTGTCAGAGAGAGAGAGAGAGCAAGCAGAGGGAGAAGCAGGCAGAGGAATAAGCAGACTCTCCACTGAGAAAGGAGCCTGATGTGGGACTCGATCCCAGGACCCTGTGTTCATGACCTGAGCTGAAGGTAGTTGCTTAACTGACTGAGCCACCCAGGCATCCTGTATTTTTGTTTATTTTTTAAAAAAAGATTGAGAGAGAGAGAGAGAGGGAGAGAGAGAGAGGAGGGCAGGGGCAGAGGAAGAATCTTAAGCAGACTCCACATTGAGCACGGAACCCGACAAGGGGCTTGATCTCATGACCTTAAGATCATGAACTGAGCTGAAACCAAGAGTTGGATGCTTAACCAACTGCACCACCCAGGCACCCCATTTTTGTTTATTTTTTAAGCAATCTCTACACCTGACATGGGGCTTAACCTCACAACCCTGAGATCAAGAGTTGTGTGCTCTACCAACTGAACCAGCCAGGCACCCCATTAAGGTGTATTTGTTAGTATTAACTTTATAATTTAGACTTTGCAGTGTATCAAAAGTGGATTGTAATTGATCTAGCAAAGGAAGTGAACAGCACTTAGAGAGAGATATAATGACTTATAAGGACTTAAGATCTTACTTTCTTAGGGAAAACACAGGAACATCTCTGATGGTATGAGGTAGCAGGATGTTTGGCAGAACCAGGATGATGGAAATACTATTGTTTGTTGGCATTTTAAATATGAGTGGAAGGGTATTCATGCATGCCAAATTTTTATTTTGAAAAAGTTTAGACTCACAGAAATTTGTGAACATAGTATAGAGTTCACATATACTCTTTACTTATCGTCCCATAATATTAACAACTATATAATCATAGTGTAATGATTAAAACCAGGAAATTAACAATGATACAATACTATTAACTAAACCACTGACCTTCTTAAAATCCCAGCAGTTTTCCCCCAATGTCCTTTTAATGTTCCAGGAACCAATCCAAAATACCACATTTGCATTCAGTGTTTGTATACCCTTGTCTCCTCCAATTTGTTTCCTTATTTTACCCCAATTCATTTCCTTGTCTTTCATAATGCTGGCACTTTCCATGAGTGTTGGTCAGGCATTTTGTAGAATATCTCCTGGTTTAGGTTTGTTTGATGTTTTCTCATGATTAGATCAAAGTTATGCATGGAATGTTGTGTCCTTCCCAGTGCATCATATCAGGAAGTAAATCTTGATCACTTGATTAAGATGGTATCTGCTGGGTTTCTCCAATGTAAAATTACTAATTTTTCCCTGTGTAATTATTAAATGTCTTGGGGTAGATAACTCTGAGATTATGCTAACATCCTGTTTTGCTGATTTTAGTATCACATGGTAAAACTTGCTTCCAAGCGCTATGGCATTTGCCTGATGGGTATATAAAATTTTTCTTATTCCTTCTACATTTACAATTGGTATTCTTCCATGAGGAAGAGTGTCCCTTCTCTCACATTACTTACTTAATTAATTGATTAATTTATTTATTTGTATTAGTATGGATTCATGGATATTTATTTTATGAGTTATTATCCAATACTATTATTTTTTAGTTTAGTTCCCATATTGCCCCAGCTTTGGCCATTGATAACTCCTTCTGTTTGGCTCTGTGTCCTATTGACATTCCTTCAAATTTATTAAAACAACCCTGGGGCACTTGGATGGCTTAGTCTGTTAAGTGTCGGCCTTCTTGGCTCAGGTCATGATCCCAGGATCCTGGGATCAAACCCCATATCTGGCTCCCTGCTCAGCAGGGAGTCTGCTTATCCTTCTCCCTCTGCCCCTCCCCCCTACTCATTCTCTCTCTCTCTCTCATAAATAAATTTAAAAACCCCAAAACCCCCACTTCCTTATTTTATCACATCACAAGGTATTCCAAATTCATCCTATATTTTCCTTTGTATAAGATTTTGAAGGCAGAAGAGAATCTGTGGTGGCAATTTCAGGCAGATAGAGGGCTGATGATGAGTTCTAAATCACTTCAGTGCGGTAGGCAGCTAAAGAGTCAGTATCAGCCTCCTGGACGTTCATTCCCTGAGCCTTCCAATAATTGTTGTATTAGCTCTCTATCACTACATCATAAATCACCACAAACCTATAGCTTCAAACAAATCACATTTCTTATTTCATAGTTTCTTTGGGTCAGGAGTCTGTCAAGGTTTAACTGGATCTTCTGTATCAGAGTCTCTCACAAGGCTGAAATCAAAGTGATGCTCAGGGCTGGAGTTTCATCTGAGGATTGACTTGGGAAGGGTCCACTTCCAGGCTCAAGTGGTTGTTGGCAGAATTCAGTTCCTTGTGGCCCACTGGAGGGAGGGCTTCAGTTCCCAACTGACTGTTGGCTGGAGGCCACCATCAGCACTGTGCCATGTGAAACTTTCCAACATGGCTGCTTGTTTCATCAAACAGAGAAGGCAGCAGACAGTCTGCTAGCAGGATGATGTCACAGCCTCATATAACCTACTCACCAAAGTGACCTCCTTTGATGTCCTTAGCATATGATATGCTTCTGTTGCATTCTATTGGTTAGAAGCAAGCTGTTAGGTCAGTCCACATTTATGGAAAGGAAATTGTGTGTGGGTATAAATACCAGAAGAGGGGGATCACTGGGTCCATTTTACAGGTTCCAGCACAGTTGTGTAAACCTCTACTTTTTTTCTTGGACCATCTAGAGTAGCTTCTGTTTTATTGATAGAATCCTGGTTGACCAGCCATCTTGTCAGATGCAATAACTTAAACTCACTTAAACTCACTGGGAAGGACACAACATTCCATGCATAACTTTGATCTAATCATGAGAAAATATCAAACAAACCTAAACCAGGAGATATTCTACAAAATGCCTGACCAACACTCATGGAAAGTGTCAGCATTATGAAAGACAAGGAAATGAATTGGGGTAAAATAAGGAAACAAATTGGAGGAGACAAGGGTATACAAACACTGAATGCAAATGTGGTAT